GATTGTCGGCAGCTCTCTGACGTGTATCATTCCTTTTTTTTATTTATTGTCAAGAGTGTCTTTTTCAGGCCGACTTGTAACTAATTTCTTCTCTAATTTTTTTTATTTTAATTGTATAATTAAAAGTAATAATTTCGCATTTCTTTTTTATCTCATCTCACTCGTGTATCATGTGATTTAAACTTAAAATCTTTTACTTTTAATGAAAGCAAATTACTATTAAACTATTTAAGTTATTGACTTTTCTCTAATAATTTTAAGTATACATCTTATGTTAACTTGTTACATTTAGAAAGAGTTAATTTTTTTAATATTAATTTTAATACTTAAATTTTAAATTTAAACTAAAAAGTGATGGTTACTTTATATATATATATTAATCTCTCGATAATTTAATAATTATATTAAATTTTAATTAATTTGAAATCAAATCATATCAAATTTTATAAAAAAATTTAATATTTATTTTTTTATTTATAAAATTTTAACTTAAAAATTTAATTTAAAAAATCAAATTTATTTTATCCAAATTAACGTATCATTAATAAGTGACAATTATTGCACCTAGTCTATAGACCCACTGACATTAGCCAATCAATCAGTGCATTCTCCTCCCCTTAAACAGTTTTGAACCCTCCTCTTGTCAAAATGTTCGAAAAAAAAAAAAAAAAGTGACAGTTACTAGTGGTGTCTTTGTTGCTTTTCCTCCTAGATAGAGTTGTTACCTGTACGGGTGAACAATTACCTAATCTAGGACCCACACTTTGCTGGCATCCTCCTCGGGGCAGGGTAATGTGGCCTGCAATTGCCCTAGGGGTCAAAAAACTAAAATACTCTAGGGTGCAATATTTATGTAACACAAGTTATATTTTACATGTTACCACGTGATGCTGTTCCCAATTACCAAATGAAAGCTAACTGTTTCCAATTACCAAATGAAAGCTAACATTTTAGAAAAATTAAAGAGAAATTGACATTAAACTTGTGACATAACATAGATAATTAATATCCTACATGTTGTGGATGAAGAACCTAACTTTCGATTTTTATTGATTGGGGATATTGATAAAGTTCATTATATATTTCACCAAATAATCTTTTCTTGGGCCACATTAAGAGTAAAAACTTTTTAGTTTTTATTTTGCGTTTCTTATTTTATGGTCTAAACTATACTAAACAGTAAAATAAAAAATACTTGAATAATAAATAAGAACTTTTAATATTAAGAAATTCATTTAATAATTATATTATACAATTCATTATAGTCTAAACCATATAATCGTTTTCCATTTTATTTTATTAACTTGAATACATATAATAAGAAGGGTTGTTGAAAATGAAATCCTACCTAGACTTGCCTTGCTGATTCTAAGAAGTTGAAAACACTTGGATTGAGAAAGAACCCATAACTTTGTTTGAACTTTGAAGTTGCGGGTTTGAAAAACTACATAATAGTTTTCGTTTTATTTTTTTATTTTTTAACTTGAATATATATAATAAGAAGGGTTGTTGAAAATGGAATCCACCCTAGACTTGCCTTGCTGATTCTAAGAAGTTGAATACACTTGGATTGAGAAAGAACCCATAACTTTGTTTGCACTTTGAAGTTGCAGATTTGAGAAAGGTGTTGACCAACAAAAAGAAGATTTGAAAAAGATGGTTTAAAATTGGTTATTATTAATCTCCCCCTTAAAAATCCGTCTCCTAAATTAATGAGATTTTAGGGCAATAAACTAGTAAACTGATTAAATCCACTGAAATTAAAATAATAATAATAATAATAAAGATCATGATTGGTGCACACCCGGATCCAACACCCGGGTGTGCACCCCCACATAAAAAAAAATATGGTATGCACCCAGATCCATTTTTTTTTATAGGGGGTGTGCACACCTGGGTGTTGAATCCGGGTGTGCACACATTATTTTCCTAATAATAAACAACTAAATCAATATCAATAACCGTGGATGACCCCAAAAAAAATCATTAATTGTATTGGTTAAGAAAAAAAATTAGGGCTTTTTATACTCAAAATTAATCTTCAGTTCACTGCTCGCCTCTTCTTCTTTTTCCTTGAAGGAGACGAACAGTTTGTCCACTATCAAATTGATGAATTCATTCCTTCCCTACCTCCTTTTTTCCTCTCATTTTGTTCGTTTGAGGCCATGGTTAGCGTTCTCACAGTTGAATTTTTATATTAGAGATTACAAAATTATTTTTAAAATGTGTAAAAGGAATTTAAATTGAAAATGACTATCACGATTACCTATTGAATATCTTATTGTTAGGGTAAAAAAAAAAATTATATAATACGTATATAATTATGGTTAAAACGAGAAGCAAGCTATATATTTAGACTACGAAAGTTTGGTTTACGACCGACACATTATATCAGCGCCGATCGCATACATTGCCGCATGCATGTATCCCTGCAGCTTCTAAATGTTATCTCATTGATGGAATTACATCATACATCCCTATTGAAAGTTTCCACTCTAAAATATCTTTCTGATACTGTATTCTTTTTTTCTGTGCTCTAGCTATCACCTTCTATCTTCCATTATAAAAATGTAGTTATTAAAATAAAGATTCCTTTTTGGTGCCTTTGAAAAAAAAAAAAATCAAATGTAAGTATAAAATCCGCTATCTAGCTAACTGAATATATAAATGCCAACAACTTTAGTGATTTAGATTTAGTTTAAGAGTGTTGATCTATAATTACAACTATTATTTTTTTAATTTTTTAATATCTTAAAAATATTAAAATATATTTAATATTTATTTTGATTAATATTTTATACATTTTTAAAATAGTAAAAAAACATAAAATCAAAAATTAAAACACTGA